CCGGGATTAGTCTCTATAAAATAATCATGCAGAACATCTTTAGCAGTTCAAAGAAACTTTTTTCCTGCTGGAGGATGTGAATGGGTTTACAATCATCCCAACTATTGCATTAATTGCCTTGGACACCAAGCCTAAGCAAAACTACTATTTTAGCCTTTTCCTTAGAGATGCAGACCTGAACAGCAATATAGCAATAATCAACATGGCCATATAGGGGGGTTGTTGTTGTTTTTATAATATACTGACATTTTAACGAGCCTTACTAATTTTATTTGACATAGCTAATAATCATTATGCTGTATGTTTGGATTTCCAGAATTCAATTGGTTGGATATTTTATGACACTTCATTCAAGAAACTAAGATGATAACACATTAATACTATAATCAAATGGTGGTTTAATATAAGCTGACTGAAAGAATTGGCTACAAGGCTGATGCTCCTCCAAGTTTTCTTACTCAATAACCCAGAAGCAGTAATTTTAGATAAAGTCCTCCAAATTGTACCATTATCTGGATGAGAGAAGCACAAATAACAAGAGAAAACAGATGTGTACTGCAATCAAATGCATATATCAAATCAAATCACAATCTTCAGCGTATGTTGTGTTCTCTCAAAACGGCTTATTTGAGTTCAAGAGCGAGCACAACTCTCACAGAAAACAAAAAAAAGCCAAAACCAAACCAAAACACCCAGGGGGTGACACCTCAAAAAGTCCAAGTGCAAATTTGAGATCATCTCATCAAAAGATTTCAGAGATGTTTCCAAACATTTGAAATTGCCTGTAATTATTAAACATTATCACTGTGATCTTCCAAGTGGTTTCAGTGATAGGTTTTGGGCTCTAAACCATTTAAAGAATTGGCTCTGCAAACAAAATTTGTATAAAATACTAAGCTACCATTCTAGTTTTCCAAACTTATATGGATTCTCATTAGCAGTTCTGCAAGTGAGGGTTTAAGAATAAATCCACTCGCCTGCAACCTGGTTCCTTAAATCTGAGCTCACGACAGAGCACTTCTCTGACAAGCACAAGAACAAACAGTTCATTCACTCCATGCCTGGGAAAAATCAGATGATTGAGTTCAAATCATCTCCTCAGGAAGCCTTTTACCTACAACCGCATCAGCATGCAGCTGCTCTTTGAAACAGGGGCTACAACAGGCTCCTCTTGGAAGTACAGGGGCAAGTGGATTTGAGGTAGTTCAGCACTGCAAAAGCAAAATTTCAAGACCCACTTCTTCAACTCTTACAGTATTGCAGCAGGGAAAGCCACACCCACGATATAAGACCATATATATATACACATATAGTGATATATATATCTATATATACCCCACTATCACATATATATATATGATGGTGGGATGTCTGGCTGTTATGAGGAGAACTCACTGTTACGTTGGGAACTCAAAGACACTGGTTTAGAAACCCTGGTCCAGACAGTCCTCAACAAAGGAAGGCTCACTAAACTGCTGAACACCTAGCCAGTGTATGCAAAAAAAGCAGGAAGCAAGCGGTCCTATTTAGTATGTGCTGCAAGCTCAGGGTGTAGAAAAAAATGCAAAGTGAACTCGAGCCACACAGAGAAGGTTTGGGAGAGAAATCAAGGGAACAGTTCACATCCCTGCTAATCTCCACTCCTAGAGCTACACATGCACTATCCTCTCCCCTACAAAGGAGGCCCTGGAATGGGGTTAAGAACTCCAGCAGAGTTCCCTTCTCCACTTTGGATACTCCACTTACGTCACCTCTGGTGAAGCACACTTTCCATTCAGAGGCCGGAAGGTTGAGAGGGTGTTTGTACATTAAAATTCCTTATGCAAACGCAGTAATCGCTCCCACACCATCACAAGGTACTCAACAAATTAATCCATTAAATGTTAAACAACAAAAAAAAGTTGGTTAAGTGCAATTCAAGGTTGCCTGGCAGCTCCTCGTAGAGGACAGCACCTTCAATTAACACACTGAGTAAGAATGATGCTTCTCAGGGTGATGATGAAGAGGGACAGCTGTGTAGCTGTGTGGTGCAAGAGACATACACAAAAGCCATATTCCATTATCTTCTGGCGTTTGCATCTTGGCACCCATACTTGCCATTTGCAGATACACTGGTTTTACAAGATCTCAAAAAGGCAAAGCGAACCTTCAGGCATTCTCAAAGGACTCAGCAAGCCCCAGGTAAGTTGTACGCTAAGTGTTGTTAGTCAGTGAAGGTTGGAGTCCACAGTGGAGAAATACACATGCTTTTCTATGGCATTTGTGTAACAGGATCTCAGAAAATGCTCCCCTTGTGGGATAAAAGCAGCTCTGTCTTGAGGGCTAGGGGAAACGGTTCTTACCAACCCAGCCAACAAGAACCTCAGAAAAGATTGCGCGAGTCAGGATCCACTTCAGGTTCCCTCTATCACACTGGTCTTTCCTTTTGGGAAAGATACCTTCTTCTTCCTCTCTAAGTGATCTCCAAAAAGCTCCACCACTCACCTTTGTCTGCTCTTTCCTTAGTTGCTTTAATAATGCTAGGTCATCCTGGGCCTTTTCCCTCTCTTCTCTGAGAGTTTTCACTACGCTGGAGGTCTGAGCGATGCAGTTTTTGATGATTCTCTCTCTGCTGGTGTGAGCATCCATCAACTAAGTGGAGGGAGAGAGAAAGTCACAACAACTAGTTCAGCAGAGAATAAAAACCAAGTTACAAGTTAAAAGAGAGACTTCTGAAAGCCCAGGCATTGCTGTGCCTATAGAAATCCCTTTGACTCTATAATCCACACATTGGAAGCAACACTGCTTTGAGCAGCAGCTACCAACTTGATCATAAGTCAAAGACACACATGAGCAGGACTCTGGCAGAGTAGCACTAAAAGCGTGCTCACACTCATTTTTAAACGAAAGAAGTGGAGTGGGCCAATGCCACCCACTGAAGCCTGAAGTGTGCCTTGAAAGATCAGCATTGCAGAACAAGTCAGTCCCTCACAAGGTTTTAAAACGATGTAGCCATTACATGAACATGATTTAGCTGTGTGGAGAAGTCGAGCATGGCCATTACAGAGACACAAAGCACCATATATCAAGGCACTGGTTTCCTTAGAAAGTGTGGATGCTTTACTGGCCACTGCACGTAACAAAACATCAGGAAGTGTGCTGGAAGTTGAAGGAGTACACACTCACAGACTGGTAGAGCTCTTTACATGTCTGGCCAGCATCAATTTTCCCCACAAAGGAAGCTGTTGGAATCGTAGTGTTTAATTCGTGGACGATTCTGTCATCGATCGTCCTCATCACCCTGAGCAACTCCTGTAAGAAAAATAAAATAAAAATCTCTCTCATCTCTGAGAAAAGCTTACTTCAAAAAAAATCACAGAATGGTTAGAGTTGGAAGGGACACTAAAGCTCATCAAGTTCCAATCCCTCTGCCAATGGGCAGAGACACCTTCTACTAGACCAGGTTGCTCAAAGCCCCATCCAGCCTGGCCTTGAACCAGGGATGGGGCATCCACAACTTCTCTGGGGAACCTCTTCCACTGTTTCACCACCCTCAGAGTAAGGAATCTCTTCCTGATATCTCATCTAAATCTCCCCTCTTACAGTTTAAAGCCATTACACCTCATCCCATCACTACACTCCCTGATAAAGAGTTCCCCCCCACCTCTCCTGTAGGCCTCTAAGTACTGGAAGGCTACAGTAAGGTCTTCCCAGAGCCTTCTCTTCTCCAGGATGAACAACCCCAACTCTCTCAGCCTGTCTTCACAGGAGAGGTGCTCCAGCCCTCTGATCATCCTCGTGGCCCTCTGCTGGGCTTTCTCCAACAGGTCCACGTTGTTCTCATGTTGGGGACCCCAAAGCTGGGCACAGTACTCCAGGTGAGGTCCCACCAGAGCAGAGCAGAGGGGCAGAACCACCTCCCTCATCCAGCTGGTCACACTTCCATTGCTGCAGCCCAGGATGGCGTTGGCTTTCTGGGCCACCAACACACATGGCCCGGCTCACGTTGAGCTTCTCATCCACCATCCCCCCCAAGTCCTTCCCCTCTCTCACGTTGTGCGAGCAAGTCTCAGTGGAAAATTAAGCAGACTGCTTACAAACAGCAAAAAAACACCCCAACCCCGCACCAAAGGAACGATTTCTGCGCCCAGACGTACGTGCTGAAACCAACCAGCCTCCCGAGCAGCCAAGGCCGGAGCGGGGTGACACAGGCCCGGGCAGCCATGAGTGAAATCCTCACACACACACACACACACACCCCCCCCACCGCTCCCCTCAGGGAACCCGCCAGCGCCGCCGCCGGGCCCCGGCCCCGCCCGTTAACGCTTCCAGGCGGGAAACCGGCCACAACCCGCAGCAAAAACGGCAAACTTCGAATGAAAACCCCAACCACGTGGGAGAGAGATCAAGATGTTTAAGGGGGCGGCCAGGTCGCGCCGCGCCCGCCCCGCGGAGGACCCGGGCGGTACCTTCACGCCCCGTTGAACAACGCGGAGGCACCCGCGGAGCCCCCCCCTCCGCCCACGGAGGCTCCCACGCCGCGGGCTCCACCTCCCTGCCCGGGCCGGGAGGGGGATCCCCCGCCCCGCTCCCTACCGGAGGGCACGGCGCCGCCGCCGTGCTGAGGGGAAGGCCGGACACCGACCGTTGCGGGAAGGGGTGACCTCGCGCCGCGCCCCCCACCTCCCCGGACCGCGCGCTCCCTTAGGGCGGCGCGGCGTTGCCAGGAGACGGCGGGAGCGCGCCGGGCTCCGGTGAGGGATGGCGGCGGGAGCGCGCACCCTCCCCCCCTTCCCGACCCCCCCCTTCCTCAGGCGCGTTACCTGGAACTCGGCGAAGTCCTCGCAGCTCGCCGCTCCGCTGGGCGCCGCCATATTGGAAAGGCCGAGGGCCGCGGCGGCGGCCAATCCGGCGGGGAGGCGGGATGACGCGGAGGGCGGTGGGCGGGGCGAGGCGAGGCGAACTGAGGCGGCCCCTGCTCCGGGCCGGGAGGGGGGAGCGGAGCGGGGGGGGCGACTGTCAGCTCCAGAGCTGCGGTCCCGGGGGAGGCCTACGCAGGGCAGCGGCGGCCCCTCAGGGGCGGTCCCGGCGCGGGGCCCGCGCATTCCGCCGCGCCTCTCCAATCCTGGGCCCGGGGCGGAGCGGGGCGCCGGCCCAGCGGTGACATTGAGGGACTCTGGGGAGGGCCCAGGCAGCGCTGCCGGGGCGGGAGGCCGCGCCATGTGGGGCCGCGCCGGTGAGTGACTGCCCCCGGGGGCTGGGGGAGGCTGACCGGCCGACCGACCGACAGACCGACCGACCGACCTCCGCCGGTGGCGGGCCCCGTGGAGGGGGGAGCGTGGGGCGGCGGGGAGCCCCCGGGGGTCCCGGCCCGGCTGCGGGCGGTGCGGCGGGGCTGAGGGGAGGCGTGAGCGCCCGACTCCGGTGGGCACTGACGGCTGGCGGCCTCCGGCCTGGCGTAAAATAATAATAATTATAACAATAATAATAATAATAATAATAATAATAATGGGAATGGATTTCGGTCTTCCCCCCCCCTTCCCTGACGGTCTGGAAAAGGCATTGATTTCATTAGGCGTGGGGGAAAGGTCGCTTATAGATGTAAAATGTGGGGTTTTGTTGGTTTTTTTTCAGAGCTGGGATGTATTATGCCTAGAAAATGTAGGGCGTTTTCAACCAGCATAAAGAAGAAAAAAAAAGAACTCAGTTCATGCTTTTAAAAGTACCCTTTGCTTTTTCAAAGTTGGGGTTTTTTCCTCCCCTCAGAATTTTTTCATTATATTAATTAGTGAATTAGAAGCTTTTTCTTGAATGTATGTGTTCATATATAAGGTGCCCCGTCCTTTTCTACTACATTACAAAGTGTATGTGTACTTCCTAATGCAGTACAAAGCAGTGCACTGGAAAGTATACAAAGTATATCTCTATACTGCAAGATTCTGCTTTTTTCTTGACTCTGTCAAGTCTGGGACTTCCCTTTGGGATATGACAACACTGGTAGAAGGGTGGCGTGCGGTCCTTGAAATGACACTGCCTAAAGTTGCTTGGCTTGTAGAAATTGCTTGTAGGCTGTAATCTTGCATTCCCATTTTTTTCTAAACAAGGTTAATGTGCAAGCTCAGGTCATAGCTCATAGACAAGCTTTAATTTCTTTGATATATTCCGTTACAACCAAAAGCTGGTGTTTCTTGCATACTATCAGATTGGTACCTATTGTTTTTCTTTCTTTTTTTTTCCTCTGGTGTTAAAAAAAACCCAAACACACCAAAACAAAAGAAACAACTTCAATTTAAAAGGTAGCATTCTCTCTTTCTACTGTTCTGTGTTAGATTTGGCCCCTTTGCTTCCTCTGCTTTCTCTTTCAGATAGGGCTGTTAAACTGCTGGGAAGAAATATTCCCTCAATTCTGAGGACAACTAAAGGAGTGGATGTGAAGATAAGCAGAAGGCTTTGCATTAAACCCCAGGAAGAAAGTCAAGTTCAGCCAAGAGGTAAGAGTTTCTGATAAAGATTATGCTACGTTTCATGCCATGAAATGTCTAGATTTCTAGGCTGCAATCATCCATCTGAACAGGAATTTGGCAATGCAGGTGCTGATATTCCTGATTTCATGAGGGAGAATTCTGATCTTTAGACTGAAAAACTGAGCATTAAAGTTAGCAATAAGATTTTTATTTTTAACAAAGCCAGGGGTTATTGTTTCTTCTTGTGGCAATAACATATCTTTCGTTTTGTAGCAGGTCTCTAGAATCTTACACGATGTACGCTGAGTGCCTTCAGCTGTGCTCTGTAACTGACTGTTCAACCCCAATCTAAGCTATCAATGTTTAGGAACATCATACAAGCTAAAACATCACACTGCTGCAGTTCTTCATAGTTCAGCCCAGCTCCAGCTGTTCACAAAATTGAACATGTCCTGCAGGAGAGAGTCAGCCTGAATCTTTGGTTTGATTCCTGTTTAACCATGGAGTTGTTCAGGTAAAGCTCAGGCCATGAAACCTGTTTTTTACTCCACGTAGGACAGTTGTGATGGTCTAATGAGAACATCTCCCTTCCCTGAAGAGTGAAAGGTTAAAGAGGTCATCTGTCATTCGTTTATTGGCCGGCCCAGCCTAAACCACAGCACCTGTATAACATGTTCCTGTCTTTGCCTGCTGATGCTAGATACAAGGAACATACAGAAGTGAAGCATTTTGCATGCTTCTGTCTTAAAAACATAACACAACTCTACTGGGTAAGACAAAAGGTCTTAACAGTGACATGTCTCCGGTAGTGGCTGGGAAAGGAGGTCCCTTAGGTTTACGTGAGGACTAATAGAAATGGTGACCAATAGCAAGGACCTAAGGAAGAGCACAGAAATGGGACAAACCTAAGTGTTTCTCCGCTAGACTGCTGTCCCCAGAGGTGACATCTTTGCTTTTAATGGTCCTCACTGGATTTTTCTTTCATAAATTTTTCTAGTCTCTTGAAGCTGGTTGTATTTTTAGCGTTGGCATCCTCTGGGAAAGAATTCCTCAGTTGAACCGTGCTGTGAGAAAACAAATATTTGTTTTTGAAACTGTCGTGTGCTGTTTTCGATCTAATGTTCCATTATTCAGTACCCCTTCTGAAACGGGACCTGTTCCTTACAACCCACGCTCCCAATGTCACAGGGTTCTGGTGCCTCTGTTGCTCTGCAGGGAGCTACAATTACTGCTTTTGCAGGCCAAAGGCATCAGTCTATGATACTGTTTCTTATATGATGACCATTCCGTACCTGTGGTCGTCCTTACCAATTTTCTCTGTACCTATTATACTGCAACTGTTTCTGAGATGAGGGATCAGTATTTCACATGCTTTTCAAAATGCTGGAGTCACACTTTTATACGTTGGCATAATAATGCTTTTGTGTTGTGTTCCTAAACCTTGCTGCTGATGCTGTTTCCCTTTCTATTACTGAACATTTTGCCAAAAACTCTAGGAAACGCCAAGAACTTAGGTTAGACTCTGTTTTTTGCATAGGAACTGGAATTGCTTCCTGTTTATATACTGGCCATCTCCTTGACTCAGGATTCTGAAGCCCTGTGGCTCTTCACACTTTTCTTTATGTTTCTGGATAACTTAGTATCGTCAGCCAACTGTCTATCCACCCTACTTCCTAAATAATTCACGAATCCATGGGGCAGCACAGAGCCACACAGGATACCTCCCAACATTGAGGTGGCTTTGTTTTGTGGGGTTTTTTTTGGGTTGGGGAGGTGTTTTGTTTGTTTTAAAGGAGGTGGGAAAGTTATCTATCTTTGCACTTTGCTTGCTAGTTTTTAATGGTATGTTATGTATGGAAGCCTTCCTATATTACATTCTAACTACTTTTTTTTTAATATGGATTTTGAAAGATGGAGCAGAAAACTAAGGGTCTAATCATTGCCTATGGTCATCTATTTGTTTATACTTCCAGATAAGATAAAATCTTACACTCCCTGGAAAAGTTACCATTTTGTGATGCAATGGTGCAGCGTATGGGCTTTTCTGTAGCAGTTCCATTTGATTTATTTTTTAAACTAATTTAATAAAAAACTTGTAATATCACAGCAGCTTAGGAAGCTTAAATGCTGGAACAGGTTCCACAAACTTAGAACTACAAATGTAGAGATCTTGGGCAAGATTTGACTTTTCTTACTTGGCCTCAGTTTAATCCATATTTACGGGTTTGTTAATCTGACTCTGATATACTTTTTGTTCCCTAACCAGCTCTAGCAATGATATTAAAAATTCTGCATTGCTCACCCTAACTAGTTTCATTGCAGTTGTGGTAATTCATCTTCCCGGACTGTTGGTTTTGGTGGGTTTTATGTTTGTTTGTGTATTTCTTTGTTTGTGTTTTGTTTTTTTTATTTTTAGGCCGGTCTCCTTTGAGGGTGCCTGGATACAAGCCTACAGACTGGGAGAGAAGATTTTTGTTGTGGGCAGGCCATTTCAAAAAACCAGAGGACATACCAGAGACTGTCTCGTAAGTGCCAGTTTTGAAGCTGTAAAAGAGACACTGTCTATGCAGGAATAAGTTACTTGAATGCAACCCCAGAATAACTTCTCTTAAATGGGATGCGTTTTCACAGCTGAAAAATCTTACGCTTCTGTGTCTGGTGTATCATCTTGTAAATGAGATGACCTGAGCAATTCTGGATTGCTGAGATAATATAGCCCTTTTGATTTTTTTCCCTGAAGGGATGACCAGCATCTATTAGTCGTTTCATTAGAAAAAGATCATAAATTGGCCAAGTTTTACTCTTCTTTCACAATCAAAAAAGGTTTTTGCAAATACTGGTGTGAACTTTTCCTCGTGTTTTTCTTTATATGTCAGTCTCCCATTCTGTGCAACTTCCATAATACAGCTATCCAATAACTGAAAATAATTTCAAATATTTATTAATGAATGTCTGGAGGGCATGAGTCAACTTTCTTTACTCTAGGAATTTAAACTAACAAGGAGTGGAAAGGCTCCCTAACAAAAAATATATATATTCAAAATTTCCCTGTTGCTGGTGGAGTCCAAACGTCAATGCTTTGCCCTGTGTGAAAAGTAGAAAACAAAACTGGATGTTCTAGTTTGCCTGTCCAAAATGAAGACCAAACTTAACAACGACAGGCAATTATTAGTTTAAAAAACATGGTGGTAGTATGGTTATCTTTTAAAACATGCTTTTAAATATATGCATTTATTTAAATTAAAAAGATACAGTAAATCTTGTACTACTTGGGTAAGCAAACTATGCAGCTGTCCTCTAAAGTTACTCTGTTTGGATGCACAGCATGGGAATTGAAAATCCATCCATGCATCAAGTTTTTTGTAAGTATATCACAGTGAATAAATATTCTTAAAAATTAATTCTTCAATTTTGTATTGAACAATTTTTCTGAATTACATTTGAAATACATAAAGGTGTGATTTATTAAAACTTACTAAATTATGTCAGTTCATATATTTTTGCATACCAAACGCTTATTATGGGTGTTTTTAAAAAAACAGTTAGCAGAGTCATTGAAGTCATTTCAATGGTTTATTGAAAGAACAAACCAACTTCTGATAAAAGGTGACCAGTTTTGCAAGTGCATCAGGAATTCTTGTTTTTATTTAAGCAAATAGTTCAGCTAAAGCTGAAAAGATGATTGAGAACTATAAAAGCACAAAAGTGGGGTTTTTTCGTGCTCTAAGTTGAATTAAGAGCGGATTGTAAGGGCTTGCGATGTAACTCAGTAATCTTGCAAGGTGTGGTGATCAGAATTAACACATTAAAACAAATGTTAATCTTAGTCACTGAACTGATTTATAGCGCAAAATGCATTCAGATAATTACCTTTTCCTCTTGTATATTCTAACACATCCAAGGTACTTCAAAAATCAACTAATAAAGTGGTTTTTTTTAAATCCTACTTCTGTGCATTTCACCTTAATTGCAGCCTACACCCAAGTTGTTGATCACAGTTTCTTAGCAAAAACAAGTAACCTGGAAGCAAAATTTAACTACTAGTTTCATGGTAGATGGACGTGTTCCCTATGATCAGAAGTCTTGTGCTCTAGTGGAAGGTGTCCCTGCCCCATGGCAGGGGGTTGGAACTAGTTGGTCCCTTCCAACCTAAACAATTCTATGATTCTATCAATATTTTGAAACAGGGATCATATCACTCTTACCCTCCTCTTCAAAAACTCCTCGCAGCTCGCCGCTCCGCTGGGCGCCGCCATATTGGAAAGGCCGAGGGCCGCGGCGGCGGCCAATCCGGCGGGGAGGCGGGATGACGCGGAGGGCGGTGGGCGGGGCGAGGCGAGGCGAACTGAGGCGGCCCCTGCTCCGGGCCGGGAGGGGGGAGCGGAGCGGGGGGGGCGACTGTCAGCTCCAGAGCTGCGGTCCCGGGGGAGGCCTACGCAGGGCAGCGGCGGCCCCTCAGGGGCGGTCCCGGCGCGGGGCCCGCGCATTCCGCCGCGCCTCTCCAATCCTGGGCCCGGGGAAGGTTAAAGAGGTCATCTGTCATTCGTTTATTGGCCGGCCCAGCCTAAACCACAGCACCTGTATAACATGTTCCTGTCTTTGCCTGCTGATGCTAGATACAAGGAACATACAGAAGTGAAGCATTTTGCATGCTTCTGTCTTAAAAACATAACACAACTCTACTGGGTAAGACAAAAGGTCTTAACAGTGACATGTCTCCGGTAGTGGCTGGGAAAGGAGGTCCCTTAGGTTTACGTGAGGACTAATAGAAATGGTGACCAATAGCAAGGACCTAAGGAAGAGCACAGAAATGGGACAAACCTAAGTGTTTCTCCGCTAGACTGCTGTCCCCAGAGGTGACATCTTTGCTTTTAATGGTCCTCACTGGATTTTTCTTTCATAAATTTTTCTAGTCTCTTGAAGCTGGTTGTATTTTTAGCGTTGGCATCCTCTGGGAAAGAATTCCTCAGTTGAACCGTGCTGTGAGAAAACAAATATTTGTTTTTGAAACTGTCGTGTGCTGTTTTCGATCTAATGTTCCATTATTCAGTACCCCTTCTGAAACGGGACCTGTTCCTTACAACCCACGCTCCCAATGTCACAGGGTTCTGGTGCCTCTGTTGCTCTGCAGGGAGCTACAATTACTGCTTTTGCAGGCCAAAGGCATCAGTCTATGATACTGTTTCTTATATGATGACCATTCCGTACCTGTGGTCGTCCTTACCAATTTTCTCTGTACCTATTATACTGCAACTGTTTCTGAGATGAGGGATCAGTATTTCACATGCTTTTCAAAATGCTGGAGTCACACTTTTATACGTTGGCATAATAATGCTTTTGTGTTGTGTTCCTAAACCTTGCTGCTGATGCTGTTTCCCTTTCTATTACTGAACATTTTGCCAAAAACTCTAGGAAACGCCAAGAACTTAGGTTAGACTCTGTTTTTTGCATAGGAACTGGAATTGCTTCCTGTTTATATACTGGCCATCTCCTTGACTCAGGATTCTGAAGCCCTGTGGCTCTTCACACTTTTCTTTATGTTTCTGGATAACTTAGTATCGTCAGCCAACTGTCTATCCACCCTACTTCCTAAATAATTCACGAATCCATGGGGCAGCACAGAGCCACACAGGATACCTCCCAACATTGAGGTGGCTTTGTTTTGTGGGGTTTTTTTTGGGTTGGGGAGGTGTTTTGTTTGTTTTAAAGGAGGTGGGAAAGTTATCTATCTTTGCACTTTGCTTGCTAGTTTTTAATGGTATGTTATGTATGGAAGCCTTCCTATATTACATTCTAACTACTTTTTTTTTAATATGGATTTTGAAAGATGGAGCAGAAAACTAAGGGTCTAATCATTGCCTATGGTCATCTATTTGTTTATACTTCCAGATAAGATAAAATCTTACACTCCCTGGAAAAGTTACCATTTTGTGATGCAATGGTGCAGCGTATGGGCTTTTCTGTAGCAGTTCCATTTGATTTATTTTTTAAACTAATTTAATAAAAAACTTGTAATATCACAGCAGCTTAGGAAGCTTAAATGCTGGAACAGGTTCCACAAACTTAGAACTACAAATGTAGAGATCTTGGGCAAGATTTGACTTTTCTTACTTGGCCTCAGTTTAATCCATATTTACGGGTTTGTTAATCTGACTCTGATATACTTTTTGTTCCCTAACCAGCTCTAGCAATGATATTAAAAATTCTGCATTGCTCACCCTAACTAGTTTCATTGCAGTTGTGGTAATTCATCTTCCCGGACTGTTGGTTTTGGTGGGTTTTATGTTTGTTTGTGTATTTCTTTGTTTGTGTTTTGGTTTTTTTTCTTTTAGGCCGGTCTCCTTTGAGGGTGCCTGGATACAAGCCTACAGACTGGGAGAGAAGATTTTTGTTGTGGGCAGGCCATTTCAAAAAACCAGAGGACATACCAGAGACTGTCTCGTAAGTGCCAGTTTTGAAGCTGTAAAAGAGACACTGTCTATGCAGGAATAAGTTACTTGAATGCAACCCCAGAATAACTTCTCTTAAATGGGATGCGTTTTCACAGCTGAAAAATCTTACGCTTCTGTGTCTGGTGTATCATCTTGTAAATGAGATGACCTGAGCAATTCTGGATTGCTGAGATAATATAGCCCTTTTGATTTTTTTCCCTGAAGGGATGACCAGCATCTATTAGTCGTTTCATTAGAAAAAGATCATAAATTGGCCAAGTTTTACTCTTCTTTCACAATCAAAAAAGGTTTTTGCAAATACTGGTGTGAACTTTTCCTCGTGTTTTTCTTTATATGTCAGTCTCCCATTCTGTGCAACTTCCATAATACAGCTATCCAATAACTGAAAATAATTTCAAATATTTATTAATGAATGTCTGGAGGGCATGAGTCAACTTTCTTTACTCTAGGAATTTAAACTAACAAGGAGTGGAAAGGCTCCCTAACAAAAAATATATATATTCAAAATTTCCCTGTTGCTGGTGGAGTCCAAACGTCAATGCTTTGCCCTGTGTGAAAAGTAGAAAACAAAACTGGATGTTCTAGTTTGCCTGTCCAAAATGAAGACCAAACTTAACAACGACAGGCAATTATTAGTTTAAAAAACATGGTGGTAGTATGGTTATCTTTTAAAACATGCTTTTAAATATATGCATTTATTTAAATTAAAAAGATACAGTAAATCTTGTACTACTTGGGTAAGCAAACTATGCAGCTGTCCTCTAAAGTTACTCTGTTTGGATGCACAGCATGGGAATTGAAAATCCATCCATGCATCAAGTTTTTTGTAAGTATATCACAGTGAATAAATATTCTTAAAAATTAATTCTTCAATTTTGTATTGAACAATTTTTCTGAATTACATTTGAAATACATAAAGGTGTGATTTATTAAAACTTACTAAATTATGTCAGTTCATATATTTTTGCATACCAAACGCTTATTATGGGTGTTTTTAAAAAAACAGTTAGCAGAGTCATTGAAGTCATTTCAATGGTTTATTGAAAGAACAAACCAACTTCTGATAAAAGGTGACCAGTTTTGCAAGTGCATCAGGAATTCTTGTTTTTATTTAAGCAAATAGTTCAGCTAAAGCTGAAAAGATGATTGAGAACTATAAAAGCACAAAAGTGGGGTTTTTTCGTGCTCTAAGTTGAATTAAGAGCGGATTGTAAGGGCTTGCGATGTAACTCAGTAATCTTGCAAGGTGTGGTGATCAGAATTAACACATTAAAACAAATGTTAATCTTAGTCACTGAACTGATTTATAGCGCAAAATGCATTCAGATAATTACCTTTTCCTCTTGTATATTCTAACACATCCAAGGTACTTCAAAAATCAACTAATAAAGTGGTTTTTTTTAAATCCTACTTCTGTGCATTTCACCTTAATTGCAGCCTACACCCAAGTTGTTGATCACAGTTTCTTAGCAAAAACAAGTAACCTGGAAGCAAAATTTAACTACTAGTTTCATGGTAGATGGACGTGTTCCCTATGATCAGAAGTCTTGTGCTCTAGTGGAAGGTGTCCCTGCCCCATGGCAGGGGGTTGGAACTAGTTGGTCCCTTCCAACCTAAACAATTCTATGATTCTATCAATATTTTGAAACAGGGATCATATCACTCTTACCCTCCTCTTCAAAAACAAGAACAAAACTCTCTTCCGTTCCCAGGTTCTACCCTACATGACTTAGCATGTTGAACTATCATGGATCCTTTGGTATCTTTTTTTCCTCCAAGTATAAGGTCAAAATGTCAACATTCCATATTCACTCACGTTTGTGTACAGTGACAATTTCCCAGTTCCATTAAATTCACTAACCACGTTAGTTTTGGGGTATAATTACCTAGTTTGCATTTATCCTTTCATCATAATGTTTATGCTTTCCTAGTCATCTGTAATTTTATAATATGCTCAATTTAATCCGTGACACTATTGGATCCCCTTGAGAAGGGAGTCAACAGCTCTGAATTCTGCAAGAAGAGTAAATATATAGGGTATAGGTCTTTGGTTATTGTGGAAAGCACATCTAAAAGCATTATGCTTCATTGGCCCTTCTTGCATTGGTATCTCCAATACAAACTTTAAATTTGCTGTAACTGCAATGTTATTTGGGTAGAATGACCTTCAGAGTTTAACCTTAGATGATCTTAAAGGTCCCTTCCAACCTAGACAATTTTTTGATTCTAACCCAACTTAAAATAAATTACTTTTTGTTTTAACTCACCACATGTACAGCTGAAAGGCTTTAATAAGTGATATTCTTCTTGTGGAAGATTTATAGTTTTTAAAAGATAACAGTAGACTAGGCAACAGGTTTCCCAAAGGAGTTGTACAGCTACTGGTGTGGCTAGATAAGCCCCCTGAAACAAACAAAAATAATAAAAGATTTAAAGGAATCCTCTGTCCAAAGCTGATGTTGGAAGACCTGCAATCCTCTGCGCCTCCTTAGTTTCTTAGGAAAACAGACTACCTTAACACTGCTCTAGCAGGAGGGAAGTGGTAGCCACTGGTCTTTTACCAAGTCCTATTTACAGTTTCTCAGGACTATGACATTCAGCATCCAGTGTGTAACCCATAGCATTCTCCAGTCCTGTAGCAGAGGAAGCCCCTATTGCTGGAAATTAGACTGCACCATAAATGAAACCATTTTGAGGACCAGGCAGAAAGAATTGCTCAGCTGTAATAATGCCTCCCTCTGCCTAAGAAATTCCAGCTGTCAAACATTACATGTTTTATTCCTGCTGACAAAAGCTTTTTTTCTGTCCTTCTGCTGTTGAGGGAAAATGCATGTTTTACAACGTTAAATGCACTGCAGTTCTAATATGGATGGGGTACTCGCTGGCTTTGCAGATACTAGAAGGTGGTAGTGAGCGCAGGAGGAGCTAACATTAAGAAAAACATTAGTAAAAGCATCCCTCTCCTTTTCCTGTCCTCCCCATAGTGAATGTACATAATTTAAATACTGCAGCCTTCCTCCTTTGCATTGCAGTCAAGTAGTCTAGAAAGGTGGTCATGTCTTTTAACCATTAAATAACTGAAACATTGGGTTTGTTTCCAACTTTGAGAGGAACTCCTTTGTGACCACAAATCTCCCAAGGTAGCTTGTTCTTGTAAAACCTTTTTGCGAAAAGTACGGTTAGCATTATACAAGATTGCCTAAGTAACATGCCAGGAGAAATCAAACAATTAGCCAAATGATGGATCTGTCTCTCTGATAATGAGTCTGTGTTCTTTTATTATTCTCTCTTGAGGATTGAAACCGTCAGAGCGGCAAAGACCACGCTGCGTGTGAAGTTCAGCTACGTGATGATGGCCTTGACGATAGTGGGATGCATCGTCATGGTGATTAAAGGGAAGCAGGTGAGCAGATTTTTGGCTGGTGGCTGCACATCAATCTTCACATAAAATCCTCAGTTCCTCCTATGGATTGTTAGTACTGTTTTGTTTAGGGGTTTTTCATTTTCATTTTATCAAAAATTAAAAATAAGTATTCCTAGCTGCCCAGAAGTGATCCTCACTGATTAATTCCCAAGTCAGAAGAGGGTGGTGTCACTGTTAGACCGCACATGCTTCCTTTAAAAGGGGAAAAAAATAGTCTTCTTTCCTCAATGGAATATTTAAATTTAGCGCTGTTTTAACTTCTTAATTTTACTGATGGCCTGAGAGAGTTTGAAAGGAAAGTGCACCTTCTGTTCTGTGGATCTGGAAGGCAGGTAGATGCTCCTTGGGCCATGGGCTCCAAATGCCTCTCGACACACAGCAACGCTCACAGATTCAATGTAATGGAAATAGCAAATGAGTATGTTTCTCCACAAAACACAAAAACTTTTGAATTCTCAAAAGTCTTTTTTAACCAGTGAGGAGATGGTCAGTAATAATTCTGTGCTCTTTAAATGCATTAGAAAAACAGATTTCCTTTAGTGTGCATGGAACAACTTTTCTCAAATCATTAGTTTGTAGAATTGGAAAACTTTTTTATAGAGAAGCTGCCGTAGATGCTGAGTATCCTTCACTTGCGTAGAATTTGGCAAGATAACAAAGAAGCAGGTCTATGATTTAATTTGCATCATATAAAGAGAGTAAGTGTAAAGTTTAAGATTCCAAGTGCAGCAAAAGTTAGTCATGCCTTTTTTTTATGTGTTTTTTTTTAACATAGTTGGTGGCCTATTAACTTTGTGGGATTTCTGTAAAGAAGCAAGGAATACTTTTTGTGTGCTAAAGCCTCTCAGTAGCATTAGTCTTAAAGACAAGGAAATATAATCTGTGCAGTTTATTGTCATGTTTCTTGCAATAAAAAGCACAGTGGTAACAGAAACACAGTTGCTACATTCTTTTAAGGATGAATGGAAGCAGAAAACAGAGTTCAAAGCATCTGCATGGGCAGAACCTTATGTGTATATTGCCCTTCTCTGAACATTCCCATCTTGTTTTTAAAGGCTACTGAGTGTTCTAGAGAAACCTTAGAGCTAGTAACAGAGTCTCAGCCCCAGCCCTGGGAGCTATTGAAGTGTCAAGCCACATTTCTACTTGTCAGCGTTCCTCTATCAAAATGAGAAGAATGCAGCGCTCTGAAACAAAACAGGGGGAAGGTTTTTCCCTGGCTTCAGCAGAAGAGATCAAACACTGACAATTCCCAGAATGTTTTTTTCTCTTACATTGGAATAGGGTGAATGCAAACACTGGAAAGAGGAGGACAGCTGCTTTGGGACCCTTGTTTTCAGTTAGATCTGTCATAACTTTTGCTTTGTTTCCAGTACCTCTGACTTCTGCAGACCAGAGATTAGTATTAAATACTGACCAGGAGCACAAAATGTATCTCCTGTGTTTAATTTATTCCCAGAGAAGTAACAAGTTTAAGCCAAAGTAGTCTCTGGATGTTTTATTTTAACCCTCTCTCTCCCTGGCATTAAAGCTGACAGAACTGTGCTTTGGTCAGATAATTTTGTAAACTATTGATTCAAGTTTAATCTCTGTAGTCCTTTAGGTGATAACTTTCTGCTCTTGCTTTATCGTTATGTTATAGGCTGTAAAAAGGCATGAATCTCTTACAAGCATAAACTTGGAGAAGAAAGCTCAGTGGAGAGAGGAAGTTTCTCAGAGTGCATCTCCTAAACCTTAGAGGAGGAATCGAAGAGACGAAGGACTGGGGAAGAAAAGCCGAGTGCTTTTCAGGACTGGAAGGATGAAATGATCACACCTTTCCTGTATGTCAGTTCTGTACTCTCTCATGTTCAAGAAAGAATGAATACATTATCCTGTAATCATTAAAACCAGAAATATCTATTTTCTTTTCCTAACAACCTCCCCCAAACTCTCTTCTTCCTTAGTGGAACAGGGCAAGAGAGTAAACTGGGTAAGCAAAATAGTTGTTTCCCACATGTGGTATACACAAGACAAAGTGTCCAAGACTGCAGGAGCTGTACCCACATTCATGGTGCTAGTACCCTTTACAAAGGCTTATGCTCTTTCTTAGAATCATTTAGGTTGGAAATGATCCCCACATGTGGTATACACAAGACAAAGTGTCCAAGACTGCAGGAGCTGTACCCACGTTCATGTTACTAGTACCCTTTACAAAGGCTTATGCTTTTTCTTAGAATCATTTAGGTTGGAAAAGATCCTTAAGATCACTGAGTCCAACTGTTAACCTACCACTGCCAAGTCTGCCACTATTCCACATCCCAAAGTGCCACGTGTCCATGTCTTTCAAATACCTCCAAGAATGGTGACTCTACCACTTCCCCAGGCAGCCTCTTCCAATGCTTGACAACCCTTTCACTGAAGAAATTTTTCCTGATACCCAATCTAAACCTCCTCTGGTGCAACTTGAGGCCATTTCCTCTCATCCTGTGATGACAGAGAAAAGAGTGACCCCACCTCACTAAAACCTTGTTTCAGGTAGTTGTAGAGAGTGATAAGGTCTCCCCTCAGGCTCCTTTTCTCCATGGTGAACAACCCCAGTTCCCCCAGCTGCTCCTGGTAAGACTGGTGCTCCAGACCCCTCAACACCTGCGTTGCCTTTCTCTGCACATGCTCTAGCACCTCAATGTCTTTCTTATAGTGAGGGACCAAAAACTGAACACAACACTTGAGGTAGAGCCTCACCAATGCCGAGTATAAGGGGACGATCGCTTGCCTAGTCCTGCTGGCCACACTATGTCTGATACAAGCCAGGATGCTGTTGACCTGCTTGGCCACCTGGGCACGCTGCTGGCTGATACTCAGCCTCTGTCAACCAACACCCCCAGGTCCTTTTCCACCAGGTAGCTCTCCAGCCACTCTGCCCCAAGCCTGTGGCACTGCATGGCATTCTGACCCAGGTGCAGGACCCAGCACTCAGCCTTGAACCTCATACCATTGGCCTTGGCCCATCAATCTAGCCTGTCCAGATGCCCCTGTAGAGCCAGTCTCTACCCTCAAGCAGGTTGAAACTCCAGCCCAACTTGGTGTCATCTGCTAGCTCACCAAGGGTGCACTCAATCCTCTTGTCCAGATAGTCAATAAAGGTATTGACAGAACTGGCCCCACTTGTGACCAGCTGCCAACTGGATTTAACTCCATTCACCACCACTCTGTGGGCCCAGCCATCCAGCCAGTTACCACTTAAGAAAACATAACAGGGACACAAAAGGACAACCCATTGTGTTTCCACTTGTACAAACCAAATGCTTTTGGTGGGCAGTCATCTGCTATCACTGACTATTTCAGGTCCCTGCAGGAATAGTGGTGCTGTATGTATACTCTCTTGTTACAGGCTGCCTAAAATATTCCATATGTTCCTCATTGTAAGAGAGAACAATTATTAGGAGACTCCTTAAATCAGGAATAATTGTATCACCTGCACTAATATCATCAAAATGCTCTTAAGTTAATAAAAAGTCTGCTTACCTGTTCAAGGTCCGATATATTCTGGGTGCATCTAAGTGAAGGGTTACTTTTTGTGAATAACTGCCTGCCTCTGAGAAAAAGAGGAGAGGGAGTGATAGTGAAATGGCATTGCAGAGAACCAGTGTGTTGCAGGTGACAACCTAATGGTTTTTACACCACAGCTGGTAGTGAGATGAGAGAATGTCCAAGCCGAGGGAACAGAAGAATTTTGAGGAATACCAAGCAACAGCTTCAACCTTTGCAATCAGACTCACTATTTAGAGTATGAAAGAAAAAAACAAATCAATCGGACATTCCTGCTCTTTGCTGCTGAGCTCTTCTCTTCCAAACCTCATTTAGATTTGTTTGCATTTTTCCCCTTTAAATTGTCATCTGTGCTTTCCTGATACTAGCTCACTTAAAGACGATCTGCCTCAAGTTTTAAAAGGGGCAGACCCAGTAACAACCTGCAAAGAGCAACTCCCAACGGTCCTACTCCTGGCACGCGTCCCAGAAGAGTCACACACTGTTCATGCCAAACAGCCTGCAGCAACTGGAGACCAGGATTTTTCCTCCTCCTTTCAGTTGGTTTGGAAGGAAACGTAGATGGGGTCTGTCAGGACTGCTGGAAACTGCGTTACTCTCCAGGAGTGCCTGCTAACTGGCTGCCAGGGACACCACAAATGGAAGAGGCACACGTGTTTGACAGATTTAGTTGGTGAACTTCCTGAGAGCTGGAAGCAGACTGCATTTCTGGGTACCGCTCACATTGATGAGATGTAACCAATCAAACAAGCCGTGCAGTCACTCTGCCACAGAAGTGACAACCTTCAGATGATGCCACAACCTGTTCCTGGACACTCCGTAAAGCAATTCTCATCGCAAGTACACTGGCAATCAGAGGAGGCTTCCACAGATTCGTCCTCTCAATCAGCACTGATTACAAGTCATGCTTAATTTGACTGCAGCTACGTGAGCAGATCTGTCATCACAGCTCTCGTTCTTTGCCACACTAGTAAGCACGCAGGCAGGAACCATAAAATCTTCCCATACTCTGTGGCTGTGCTCATTTATGTATTAAATGAGACCAAAAATGGTCTCTTCAGGTGGTATTTCAAGAGAAACTTGTGATTTGATTTATGCTTGGTCACGGCAGAGCTTAAAACCATGCATCTCTCAAAAATATCCCCCTTTCAATAAGCACCTCCGAGTGCACTCCTGTGAACAGAACTGGAAGGTACCTCATCTAGTTTTGGAAATAAAACTCATCCAGCTGGTAGAGTATTTCAAATAAAAACATGTAAAATACCACTTAGAAAGCAACACCCCAGAGCAGCAATACTCACCAGTTTGTCATTTTACTTAAATTTCTATAAGCTTTATGCTGTTCACTCAGAAATTAAACTCTGGCCCCATGTTTTGACAGGAAGCCCATGTAGAAGTCATAAATCCTTTCCTTCTACCACTCTGGTACCTCCACCATTTCAGTATTTATGCACCATAAAACCTGTGCAGCACTGCACACATTTGCGTTTTCTTTTCTAACCTTCCACTTAGGCTCTGGAGTGTCAAATAAATCCTGAGCCACTGGGCTTTGTGTTCTCTCCATCTCACTCCAAGACATTGCAAATTTTCTTAGCAAGTGTTTGGGCACTAGAAAAGTTATATATAACTTTTTCAGAGGGGCAATGAAAGAAACCACCTCATTCCTAGTGTGATGGCTTCCAAGAAAGCACTTCTAAACACAGACAACAGTTTAGAAAACACCACATATTTCTGGCCTAGGGAGCCAGCCTGGCTGACTGGAGAACTTCGTAATAGGCCTTGTATCACCTGAGTAGCTCATAGATTTAGCCTACAGCCTTTTAGCAATGCCTGACAGAGAGGAACATACTAAGTCCTTAGACAGTATTTCCTTTTCTTTCTCCACTTTGGCTTGGTCTGCAACACCAATTTATTCAAAAGAGTCAAATTATCAATCCTATACCATAGAATCATAGAATTGTCTAGGTTGGAAGGGACCTTTAAGATCACCTAGTCCAACCATCAACCTAAGTCTGATAAAAAACCATCACTAAACCATGTCTCTAAGCACTCTGTCAACCCAACCTTTAAATACCTCCAGGGATGGTGCTCCAGCCACTTTTCTGGGCAGTCCATTCCAATGCTTAATAAAACCCTTTCAGTGTAAAAATTTTTCCTAATATCCAATCTGACCCTTCCCTGGCGCAATTTGAGGCCACTTCCTCTTGAATATGCCATATTGCTGTACCTGTACCAGAAGCAAATGAAACTTCCCAGTGCAATCATCAACTTGACAACTTGAATGACACCTTAGGACCCTTATGAGCATGGCCAGAGCCATACATAAAAAGCTTATGTTTATTTTCCTACTAAGACTCAGGCATCCAAAGAAAGATTCAAATTCTACTGGCTAAAATTGGCATGGGGAAGTACTATCGATGTGTTCTGCCAATCTCAGCAACAAAGAAACCACACTGGAAGACGTGGGAATTACTTAAAGCTGGCACAGAGGCACAGGAAATCCTCAGGGAAGCAGAGAGATGCATCACCAGGAGCACTGTCGGGCATTACAGGTCTGTGGACAGGATGACTGGGTAACAATTCAGGTAGTCCTACATCTTCCTTTCTCTAACTCACAGTTTAACTGACATTGCAAGCACAACTTAGAGAGATTCTCATTTTTATGAATCTTTTCACCTTACCAGCTTTGGAAGGTGCTTAGACTGAATCCCCACAAGCACACAAAACCAAATGCCTCAACTTCCAGCTTGAGGATAAGGGCAGAAGAAAATATGTAAGATCACTTTTCTGGCACTACACACTGCACAGCAGAGCTAAGAGAAGAACCCAAGAACCCCAGCAGCTTCCTGGCCTTGAGACCACACTGTCTCCCGCCTACACACAAAACAAGAACAGATTATTTAAACACACAGTGTGACCTTCACAAAAGTGGAAGCTAGAGGCATCCTCCAAGTTAGCTCCTGTTTGAGCAGCACGGCACCCTTCCCAAAAGCAGAGAATACTGGTTTCATTGTTTCTAGCAGGGGACACATCCCTTGTTGCTCTCATGTCAGTCTAAAAAGAAAATGCCTCATTTCTCACCTAAATGGAATTTCCAACCTTTCAATAGTTGTTGCTCTTCCAAATTTTTTAGCAACCCTTTTTAGCTGCTGATAGCAACACCAAGAGCGTTCCTGTAAAAAAAAAAGTTGCACCAATGCTGAATTTAAAGTTAATATAAATTTTCCATTTCTACTAAAGATCTCTTTTTGCACCTATATAAGCATTACAGTAACTACAGAGTTGTGATAGGAAACAGTGTTCAAGTGAAAACACATATTGATCTTCAATTTCAGAGGCACTTTTCCTCCAAAACAGTGTCCTTCACCTGTGGCCTGAATGTTAT